GTTTGTCTTGTTCCTGGTATTAACATAGATGCATAATTATATGTTACAGGATGCATTCATATATAAGTGAAATTGAAAGTGTGACAACAGTGTGATGCATATTAGTGGTTCAGTATAGACAAAAAATAGATGCAATATGTGGAAGTGTAAGATGTAGTAATTGTGGTTATTGTAGTTGGAATGCAAAGGAATTTGGTAATGAATAATTATGTGTAAGATGCATAAGTTTAAGAGACGATATGCAGTCTTTTTTATGAATATGACTTGTGCTTGTGAGTGATATAAATGCATATTTTGATGCATTTAACCAAGCAAGTTATTACAGTTTTCATAATAGTTAGATTATGAATTGTGGTTGTGAGCCATGTAGTATTGCTTACATTTTGAAGCAGTTAAATTCTGGTTTTCGTATGTGACTAGCTCCAAAGTTTCATGTCATATAATAGAAAATCAAAATGAGCATCAAGTGTTAGGAAAAAAAGAAAGCAAGAAAGCGCATCCACAAGCAACTTGCAACAAAACAAAATTGGTAAAGGGAAGACGAAAAAGAGCAAAGGTTAAAAAACTAACTTTTTACGTATAAGATTCATTTGTAATTCTGTAAGTATAATTTTAATTGTTCTATTACATTAATTAGGAAGAGACGCTCCTATGATGAATATGCAGCATGATGATGCACAAAGAAAAGAAGTGAGAGGCAAAGGCAAGTTAGCAAATTCAAGTTTAACTTTGTGAATTTTAGGATCATAAATTCAGATTGTTATGTACTGATATAAATGTGTAATGGTAACCATGTAGGTGTGAAAGATAGTGAAAGACTATCACTGACCATGAGGAGGAGGACTAGGAGCATGATGCAGTCAAAAAGTGATGATCATGCAGAAAAGTCACAAAATGATGATGAACAACTGAAGACAAAAAATACTATGAGTGACAGTGATGAAGCTTTTGAAAGTCCTCCTAAGTCTGTAAAAAATGTAGGTGGTGCAGTTAAACATCAAAGAAAGAAGCAACTCAAGAAAGGTGATTATAAGGAGATCAAGGAAGAATATACAAGTTTGTACAACAGATCATCACCAAATGTGATTGTCAATGCAATATCAAAGTTTAATGACAAGCAAAGAGAAGAGGTCATTAATATAGGTTTTGGAGCAATGTTGTAGCTACATATCCAAGATTTGCCTTTAAGACTTGGATATTGGATTGTAGATAACTTTGACCCAAGGAGTTGCACACTAAAGCTGAATGGTGACAAACTTCATGTGACAGACGAGGTTGTTGAGAATGCACTAGGATTCCCTCGAGGAGAAGAAACAGTAGTGAAGAAACTGAAAAAAGAGAAAAGTGCTCTGGCAGATGAGTGGAGGGCTTTATTTGGTGCAAAGGAAAAAATTACTCCAACCGAAGTGGCCAAAGCAATGATAAGCTACACTAATGGTGGTGAATGGTTTGTGAGACATTTTGTCATCTTATTGATATCTTCATTGATTGAGAACACAAAGAGCGGGTATATAAACTATCAGTTCATAAATTGCTTGCAAGACACAAAAGCAATTAAAAATATGAACTGGTGTGAATATGTCATAACCGCTCTAGTGAATAAGAAATTGGAATGGGAAGAAGGTAAAGACAAAGCTTTCACTGGTCCATTGTTGTTCTTAGTGGTAAGTTTGTGCTATATAATGTTGGGAGTGAGAAGTAGTAATTGCATATGACATCTAACATGGTTGTTATTCATATTTGTTTGCAGGTTCTTTATGTTGATAGGATGGTATTATTGTATCGAAGGAAAGTAGTAAGGAACTGGCCTGCTATAATTGGATGGACATCACAATTACTTAGGGAGAGAGAAATAGAAGAAATAAAAGCAGGCGGTTTTGGTCTCGGATATTTGGATGAGAAGATGCAGAAGAGGGGATTGACAGTAGAAGAAATGAGTGCTGATCAAAATAAGGTGCACCAATTAGAAGTGGAAGGTGCACAGAACGGTGAAACATCAAGAAGGGAAAACACACAAGAGGTAAACTAATAATTCATAGATGGCATTTTTTAAAAATGAATCTAATATGTCTTATAATGCAAGAGTTTCTGGAAAGATTTGCTGTGAAAACAAAGTTGTTAGCTACGACAACAATTGAAATAATGAATATGGTAGAAGAAGCTCCACAAGTGCTGCAAGGAAATGAGAACTTCAAGAAAATTGTGGAGGCTACTAATAAGCTACTTGGGGTAGCCCAAAAGCAAGCACAAAATGCTGAAACAAATGCAGCAACACCGGAGCAACAGTTTTATGATGAAGAGGTTGAAAAGTTTTGGTCAAGTCCAAGAAACATCCAAGCTTTGGTGCAGATGGAGTCTGCCTTTGTGAGAAGATCGCAATACATAAAGAAGATGGATGACAAGCCCAGCTTCAGTCTAGGACTGACTCAAGAAAATGGATATGAAGCTACGGGCAGCGGTGTTAACACGGTTGCGGAAGAGAATACAAGAGAGGCTGCTGTATTGGAGTTTCATCCATTTGAGAAAGAAATAGAGGTAATAATAGAGAGTGTGATAAAGTTTTTTTATATAATTTAATTATTAGTTAAATTATTGTGAAAAATACTGAAGTGATGTTTTATGTGCAGCAAGAGATGAGTAAAGATGCAGTGGAGGTAGATAATAATGCAGACAATTTGCATGAAGCAGATATGGAGATTCATCCATTTGAGAAAGAAAGAGAGGTAATAATAGAAGAAATAAAGTTTTCTTTTATAAATTAATTAATAGTTAATTTATTGTGAAAAACACTAAAGTGATGTTTTATGTGCAGCAAGAGATGAGTAAAGATGCAGTCGAGGTGTATAATAATGCAGACAACTTGCATGAAGAAGAGGTAGAATTATTATGAGCAACATATTGAAAATGCGGTATGGTCATCTTACATTAAAATTGTGTCAATATAATTTGATGAAAATCGCAGTATGTACAGGCATCAGATGCAATAGCAAAGGTGCAAGAAGAAAAGAGAATTCAAAGAGCAGCTGCAACATTGAAGTCACCCTACTTAAAAAGGCTTATCGATCCTCTTGAAGGTCTCAATGCTAATGAACGTGCTGCAGTTGCATGGTTATTTATAAACAAGAAGGCTGATAGGTAAGTGATTGTAGTTATAATGGATGTTATTGGTCATGTTATTTTGTGTAAGACACAATTAAGTTGGTTTGAAAAGAAATTGAAATTACAACATCCTTTTTTTGATTGCATGGTACAACTAATTGTATTGTATGTTAACAGGAATGAGATTGTGTTCAAAAAGGCATTCTGGTTGCAAGTTACACGTGATGAGATGGTGAGCTTAAAAGAAAAGTGCCATATTTCAGCTGCTGTACTAAATGCATGGTCTTTCATTCTCAATGTGATTGAAAAAGATAGAAGCAGTGATTCTCCTGCTCGATTATTTGCAAAGCCATACCCTTGTGTGAGTGCAAATTAAGAAAAGAGACAGTTTTGTGTCCAGTTAAATTATATACACAATAATTGTTATATTTGTTACTAATGCAATTGAATTGGTGTGCAGCTAGACACCCAGGTTGATCTTGGTTTAAATGCTAAGGATGCATACACACTGTTTCAAGCAGCACTTGACTTTGGATGGGCATTGGTCCAACAACATACTGCAGTAGCACATATTGATCTGGTAAGGGTCAATATATGTAAGGGTCATAAAGAATTGAATATATGGTGTTATATATGTAAAAGTTCTAACACGAAAATGTGGTGCAGTTTTTTTTTCTCAATAATGCAATATCATCATGCATACATCATATGTGTGAATACCAAGCTAAAACGTGTGGATATTCTCGATAGCTCATCAGTCGGGGTATCAAACGCAAACAAGTATGGAGACATGCCAGAAAAAGTGGTAATAAAACTTGATTTTAGTTATATATGTAATATATATATATATATATTAATAATGTCTGTATTCTTACAACCGAGTGAGATTCATATAATAAAAGCTATTCTAACTGTGTTCCAGATTGGTATGCTTGTGAAATACTTGGAGTCAAAGAAAATGGAAAATGTTACAAAAAGCAAATACAGTGCGCAAATTGAAGGGTAAGCGACTACACATGTCTTGGAGAGATCCCAAAGATGTGTATGACTATGGGGTCTTGGCAATGCGACATATGGAGACTTATCGTGGAGAAGGGTTGCTGGGTTGGAGTATAGGATTGAACAGACAGGATATCAAAGAACTTGGTGCATTAAGAAGAAAGTATGTTGCAGCCATTTTACTACACGAAAGCAATGACCTTATGCAAGAAATCATGATGAATGCCAAACAATTTGCAAAGATAACTAAAGCGGAAAGGTTGAATGCAGCATAGAGGGGATTTGTTATCTCAAACATTTGGTTTTTGTTAAGTTTGATCTGAAAAATTTATTGTGTCGTTTGTTTTTGTGTGGGTGGACAATTGTTGAAGTTCTTACATGAGATTAGTACGGAAACATATGTTAGGATGCATCGTATCAATATTGAATGTTTTATGTGGGAATGTGAAATCCAAACACTAATTTTACGTGGAATGAAGTTTTATTTTCAGTTAATATGCATATTTATACCTTGTTTAATGCATTGCAATGAGCTATAGTATGCATCATTTTGCATTTCTTGTGTATATAGTATAGCAGGACTATGCATCCTTACATGCAACTTCATTACCTGTAAGATGCACTCCGATGAGTTATAATATGCACCGTTCATTTTTTGGAATATATAAAATATAAGCGCAGTCTAGTGTGTTAATAGTGTTAACATGAATTTATAAAAATGTTTCTTATAAAAATCCAACTTTGTGATGAATATGATTATATTAAAGATTATATGGTCTATAAGGTGATATTGAAGACTGAAATATGCATTACATGGGATACAATGATGCATAAATGAGCATTAATGCAAATGGTAAACGTGCATTAATAAACCCAATGATAATAACAAAACTTTGAAAACATACACTACAAAACCAATAACATAAAACTATATTAATTTCCAACAGACAGTCGTCATTGTAATGTCAAACAACAAAAATTGCAAACATATACTTTAACTTCAAGCAAGCCTATTTATTTAAAGGGCAATTTCTACTATCGTGATGCCCCATCTCATTGCATGATCTACAAAGTCTTTTGGGGCATTGGGATTCTTCCATTGAAACTTCCTTGGAAGACCTAAGCCTACGTCCAGAACCCTTATTTTTCGCCTGATGCGGGGGATGAACAGTGACTTCAGATGGCACACCAGAACCATAAAATGATTCAATTAATGAATTCTTTGTTGAACACTGACCAACACCTTCATGTAGAGAAAGTAGAATTTGCTTTTGCTGTTTAATTATACCTGAAAATTGCTTCAAATAATTGGGATTATTTTCAACAAGGGCCATACAAGCATATATGTCAGACCAAAGAGTGTTAACAGACATCTTATTGTCCTCCAACAATGAAGTGTGTTCTAATACGGAATCCGAAATTTCAGTGAGTGGCTTCACTAGACCCTTCTTGCACCATCTGCTATTAACCAAATGGTTCGGAATGCGTTCCAATTTCAAGTCCTTTAGAACAAAAAATATGTGTCTACAAACCATGCCAATCCGCTCATAATACCTACAACTGCACACTGCCTTCATATTTGACATGCTCAAGTCAACTCTAAACACCAAATTACGATCATCGGAAATTTCATACTCAAAATCACCATCGACACCATGCACATGCAAAACACGACATGAAAAGCACGCTGAACACAATTCCGACTGAATATCATAAAAGACAGCGAGTGTGAATACATCAGACGCAGCCTTCTCCATAGATAAAGGAGTCTTCAAAACTGGAAGGTAGGACTCTGACTCTGAATTCAATTTATCTTGTGCATGCCTTTGTGCATCCATTGCACTCTCAAATTGCATTAAAAATTCTATTAAACTGAAATGTGGGTTAGTAAATTCACGGAAAAAGGAATTCTCACTTTCAGACCGTGATGTTGTACGAAGTAATCCAGCCATAAATAGATCTCTAAAATAAGAAGGTATCCACCAATAGCGCAACTCAAACATATGGACAAACCAATCACGTTTTGTCAATTCGTATTCGTTCATGAGAGAGATCCACTTTTCTTCAAATTGAGATGGTTCAAGGTAATGACTCCAAACTATTGAATTCAATGAAGACATAAATGTTTCATTTTTGCTTAAAACTGGGCCAACCTTTTGAGTGACTTTGGACATAATATGCCACATACAATAGCGGTGTTTGGATGATGTAAATACCTTCTCAATGGCAATACGCATCGCTGGATCTTGATCAGTAATAATGCATGTTGGTTGACGTCCCATAGCATTTATAAAACAAGTAAAAAGCCAAACGTATGACTCCACATCCTCCTTCAATAATAATCCAGCTCCAAAAGTGACACACTTTCTGTGATTATCAACGCCCGTAAAAGGTCCAAACACCATATTGTACCTGAACATATAAGAAGGAAACTATGTTAAGCAACAATAAACTCTTTGGTGCATAAGCTAACAAAGAAATATGCAAGTTATTATGCTGTGTAGTGCAACAAAAACACAGAATATATAAAGTCGAATTCCCAAAAAACAGAATATAACAGAAACAAACCTATTCGTTCCATAGGTAGCATCAAATGAAACAACATCACCAAAAAATGCATAATTCTTGCGGCAAATAGGATCAGCCCAAAACAACCTTGTTAACTGGTCACTATCATTCACATCACAGTCAAAAAAGAAAGCAGAAGACACCTCTTGCTTCCTGAATAATTTGTCAATGACAATTTGGGCATCAACACCAGCTATATAAGCCATAAGATCACGCTTGAAATTCTTGAAATCCACAGCTGTAGCACCAATATTAGAATATCCCCCAACAGTCTCCTTATATAGCCGATATGACTTCATTGTGCCAATATTTGCTCTAAAACAATTTAAAACAAACTTCTGATGTCCAAGGTCTAAATTTCTGTTCACCTTTAGAAATTGTTTGGATAATTCAGAGCACATCGAATGATTGTGGCGTTGTTCAAATGCAAAAACTGAGTACCCTTTAAATCCAGAATATTTCAGAGTTAACATGGCTTTACATCCAATCCTATTAGATACTCTTTTCCTATTTGATGGGCAACCTTCAGAACCAGCAACATTGGTATCCGTCCTATTAGACACTCTTTTCCTATTTGTTGGGCAACCTTCAGAACCAGCAACATTGGTATCCGAAACAGGAGGACAAGCATTATTCTTAAAACCAGCTCTACTACATACAATATACTTCATCAAAATATGCCCATCTCTCGCCTTCTTTGATGTATGATGACGTATAGTAAACCCCAACTCAGCTGCATAGTCTTTGTAAAACTTAAAGGCAACATCTAGATTCACAAATATCATCCCAACAAGAGGTTTCTTTTCAGGTGAACATTCAGGGATCCAATACTTTGAACCCCCAGGAGAAATTTCAAAACCACAACTTTGATCTATATAAACAACAAACAATCTCTAATATTAGACATGAACAAAAACTAATAGTAAACAACAATAAAAACAGTAATTCACTAAATGCACCATACAACACAAACAAATGCATAATACATATTTTAACCTGCAGAAGACAAACCTCTAACACAAAGAGATATTTCAACAAACATTAAATTAAGTATTTAATCTGTTTACATTATTGAAGCTGCAGTTTGGAATCGTTCATAATTCATATACAATATACTACACAAAGAAAACATACCTACGAATTGAACGAAGGTAACATTAGGAACATTTAATTATGAAATTCGGTTGTGAGAAGATACATAATAACATCAACCTCTAATATAAATCAAAAAAATAAAAATTGCAGACCAGAACAAACTTACAAAAACACACGATCAACCTCTGAAATTATTGTGTGTGTATAAAACAGATTTCATGAAAGATATACGAATACCTGATTCCATGGCGCTCGATGATAATGATCATACATCGAATTAACTGCAGCAAGTCGCAATATCGATGAAGAAGACAAGCGCAGAGATGGAATCCATGATCGATGGGAAAGATGGAATGAAAGAATAAAGGAAAGTAGGCGGTTATGAGAAAGGAAATTAACGAACCTTATTTTTGTTCCATTATAAAAGTGGAGTAATTGACAAAACCGCCCTCAATGTTAATTAGTTGGTTGTGAGCCATTGACATAGAAACGAACGGTAATCTTGATTAAACTATGGTTGAGATTAGTTTGTAGGTTAGTAAGGTAAGACTAGTTTGTATTTGATCTCTATTCTATACATATATATATACATATATATACATACATATATATATATATATATATATATATATAGTGCGGTTCTAGTGAGAGAAAGGAGGCTCGGGAGAGAAATGAGAATAAAATTTAACCATCTAATATATGAAATCAAGGGTGGAGAATGAATATATATGAAAGTAGTTTTTAAGTAATTAAATTACACTTTCAAGGGCAATTTTTACATAAAAACTATTGTCATTAATAATGAGGGCACATGTGTGAATCGCATATACCTTCAGTTACCACACATCTATGTTCATTCCTTAAAAATCTGTTATGGTTACTTTTTTTACTCCGTTTCTTTCCAAAAAGTGATTGATCATTAATGTCATATATCATAATAAATAAATATTAATTGTTTTCCACTAATAGATTTCCGTATTTTTTTAGATACACACCTCTTTCATAATTGGAAATTCAAGTTAAACTATTTACATTTGCGAAGTGATAAAAAGTGCAACATATTCTTGGTAAAGTGCATCAACAGAAAATACTCCGTATCATTTATGTGTAATGTGTACTACAGATAGTCGTGAAGCACTTTTGTCAGTTTATTTATTATTCATTTCATGTAATTAAACTTTATAAATCATTCTTGATAATCACTATTACTTCGTATTTAATGATCCTGCTAATTATTCACTTTTGATGTAGATTTATATTTAAATTATATAAACATGAAACTATTTTTTTGTTCAACTAGAAGTGCACTTATATAGTAAGTATATTAATGCAACTTTGTTTTATCGTTATTGCACTTTAAGTTATTAATTAATAATGCAAACACCATGAATAATGTAGAGGTGCAATGTGTATGAGCATATAAGTGCATCAAGTATCATTAACGAGCACTTTTGTAAATACTTTTTTTACAAGGGTATACTGTCATGTGCTGTTAAGTATATATAAAATGCATTACTATATCACACTTTCTAAAATTTTACATTGGCACGTTTATCCAAAATTAATGCACTTTAAACGTGTGCATTCAAATATAATAGAAGCGCATTATTATCTCACAATTTCTAAAATTTTACATACACATTGCGGTGAAGTTATGATACTAAAAAGGTGCAACATATATAGTTGTGTTAGTGCAATTTTTTAATAATATCTAGAGCGTAAATAATACAGAGTATATGGAAATGCATTCAAACATAAAATAGGAGATATATTTAAACATAAAATGATGAAATGATCAAGTTATTTTACAAAATATGAAAAGGAATATCTTCTTCGGTGACATTGAACTTGAGAATAATGAAGGTAAGAAAGAATTAAGAAAAAATGGCACAAATATAACTTGAGGACTCTTATTGGACAAAAAAGAGACTAAAAGCCCATTGAACTGCACGCTAACTTATCTTCCGAAACTTATCTTCTGACCTTTCGCACCCACCCCTGGTCGGCCTCCTAAACCTGCAACAAGTCTTCCCCCTTCGATCTGGTATCCGTCTGGGCAGCACTCCGTCGATAACAATGAGTGGTGTCACCGGCGTTTCTTCTCCTTCTCATTTCTCGTCCCATCCTTCGCCGCCTCGCCGTCTCGCTGCCGCGCTGTCACCATCACTCCTCTTCTCCTCCATCGTTGGAGATGAAAATCGACCAGCAACACAAATCTGTCCTCCACGGCCGTCGCACTGTCTCCATCGCTCCTTCTCATATCCCAAAATCGCGAGGATGAGATTGAAAGGGTGATATTGGGGAAGAATGAAATCCTAGGGTTTGGTGGTTGCACAGTCAGGTTGGGGCGGTATACGGGGAGGTGATGGGCTTGGAAGGGGGCTCATAGGATTTTTCATGGGACTGGGGCGGGATTTTTGCCAGGGGCATGGGAAGCTAGGGAGGGGGTTGGGTGGGGGGTTGGGGGCTGGGAAGGGTAGGCCGAGATATGGCTATGACGGTGGTATGTGAGTTGTGTCAGATGGCGGCGGTCGGAATGCTACGGCGGTGGACGGAGTTTGTGCTACGGCGGCTCCGAGCTGGGAGAAGTGATATTGTTGTTGCTTTCAGTCTTGATATTACTGTTACACACATGTGGTTGGGGTTGAGGAGGGGGACAATGGCAGTGTCGTTGAAAAAATCGCAGGAAAAAGTCAATTGAGAATTTTCCGGCTATCACAGTGACACGTTTCCGGCGATAGTGACATGTTTCTGACGACAATGACATTCGTAAGTTACATGAAAATCTAGCAGTGAAAACTTCTCAGTGACATGAAAAAATCGCAGTGACATAGTTATTTACAGTTACATCATTCTTTTCCAAATCTATGACTTTGTTACTCACATTTTTGTCAATATTTGAAACTAATCACTTCTTTGGAAATTGAGTTGAATTTAGTAATATTGAGGGGGAAACTCAAGAACTAAATGGGACAAAGGAATTTATTTTTATTGACTGAGAAAATGAAAAATAATTTGATAAATAATTCTCAAGAGAACCGTAAAGCAATTCTCTCAAGAGACGGTTAAGCAAATAATAACAAGATTGTAGGAAGTAATATTGTGTAGCTTTAATATGGTGTCAAATTTTCTTATTTACCCTTAATGAAATATAAAAAAACTTCAAGATCGGATGACTATTAATCATTCTTATTTCTCTCCTAAGATGATTTTCTTACTTGAATATATATATATATATATATATATATATATATATATATATATATATATATATATATATATATATATATATATATATATATATAGGGAGCGGTTCCGGTAAGAACGGGCTCCCAAGAGAGAAATAAGAACGAATCTTGATCGTTGGATTTTATTATGTGAAACTGAATTGTGCATTTGGTGAAACTGAAATGTGCATTAGATGACATTGAAATATGCAGAATAATAATTTAAACTCAAGTGTGCATTAGATTAAACGGAAATGTGCTGAATAAAATGTACAAAAATAACATCACATCGTACCTTTTATTCTGCACATTTCAGTTTCACATAGTGCACATTTCAATTTCACTCAATGCACAATTCAGCTTCACATAATGCATCTGTATCGTACCATTTGTGCTGTACATTTCAATTTCACCTAATGCACATTACAGTTTAATCTCATGCACATTGAATTTCACTTCAAGTAAATCTAACGATCCAGATTCATTCTTATTTTTCTCCTAAGATTATGTTCTTATTTGAATCAAAACACACACACACACACACACACACACACACATATATATATATATAGAGAGAGAGACTTTATCACTTTTATATGTTTTTAGGAGTTTTTAAGATATTGAGTTTGTTTATTTTGATTCTTAAAGTTACATATGATAATATATCATGAAGTTGCATTTTCTTCTGCGTAAGTTACACCTTAATGTACACGAATTTTATCTTAATATACGCGAGTTAAATCTTAATGTATGGGAGTTACACACTTACACCACGGAATAAACTCATGCTATATCATTTTTATAGCCCTAATATTAAATATAAAACATACTCGTATTCACTATTTAAAAAAGTAATTAAGCTATTAAGATCATTTTTTCATTGTTTACATCGAATTTAATGTTTATGATATACTATCATCCATTCCGTTTTAAACACAACATGTTGAATTTTACACTATTCGCATGCTCTACTTTGACTACATTTTACGCTACTATTTTATAATTTTTTTTTAAAAAAAAATATTGTTGAATTCATCTAATTACAAATTTTCAAAATCTGATTTTTAATATTTTTACTAATAGAATAAAGATATAATTACGGTCAAAGACGTGCGTTGGCAAATGTGAAATGTTGACCGTTGCAAATAAAAAAGAACTGAGGGAGTATATATTATTCTCAAACACACAAAAAAATTGTACAATTTTACAACAAGTTACATAATGTATACATCTAACTTATATTTGTCATCAACGCGATTTAAATTTGTAATAACATGAGCTACATTAAAAAATCATTTGTATGACCATGACACTAAAAACAAAATATATTCACGTTTATCTGAAACAATTGTGCAATTAGACTCTTTTTTTCCATAGTTTACCTTGAAATTAGAGAGTATTTCATATACTCTGTACTTCGAGTTAATCATTGATCTATAATCATAGTTAATGTACACGTAAATTATCAGTACTCCATCATCTTAAAAAAAAGTCAGTTCACCAACTTTCAAGAGCAACTTCTTAGCCGGAGTTTTGCTCCAGGTACAAATGCAGCACCCCAGCAGTTTCAATTCTTGAGCAATCCACTGTAAAAGTAGAAAACAATCAGTTGCCTTATGTTTGCCTGATAGTATATGCAGTGTCCATACTCAAGCTTTGTTCTTCAACACCTTGGTAGGCTGGAATTGATTTGACGGGTCTATACCGATCCGAGAATTGACAGGTAAGTTGGCACCGGAAAACACATCCTGATTCACTGATCATCGTGTCTTCATTCTTCACATGTGTATATAAATTGACTTCAACACACCATAGCGCTTGCAGTTATCGCTCCACCAGAAAGAGGTATGGCTCATCTCTTGGGAGGATTCGCCCCTCCACTCACCTTCAAGCCCAGGACTGTTGCTGCTTCCGCTTCTACATTCTTTAACAACCAATCTTCATCTTCCCATGCCCTAGATGCCACTTTCATCAAACGGGCTGCGGAGCTCGCTGATATGTCCGCCGGATTCACTGCCCCTCACCCCAATTTTGGGTGCGTAATTGCCACTACCTGGGGCGGACGTGAAGCGGATTCAACCGTGGGAGAGGGCTATTTGTATGCCGAGGGGACCACAACAGCTGAAGTGCAGGCAGTGGAAGCTGCGGGGGAGAAGTGCAGAGGCGCCACTGCTTATCTAAATATGGAACCAGGCAACTCGGGTGGTGACGCGGCAGCAGTAACGGCTCTTATCCAGGTTGTTTTACACGAATTTGAAATACAGCTTCTTTCATTCGCGTGATGTATTTTAGGTATTTGTTCCTAGGAGTTTGCATTCTTAGCCCCAGCTACCTGGTAAAGAGATACCCGGTGTCACACTTAGCTAAATAAAACCTAAATATGGAGTGTACATGTCAAATATAAGGGAACATTTTCTTCTTTATTGGAGAAGTTTGAGTGTGTAGTAGTACTTAATCAGCCGATGCGATTAACTGTAGAAAAATTCAACTAAATATATGAAGGCACCTGTAGCTTATTAACAGAATGTGACTGAAAATGCTCATTGTATGTGAGCATTTGGTCCCGGAAGTGTGATCTGAATATAATGAATTCATGCTGATTAGGCAGGAATTGCAAGAGTTGTTATTGGGATTCGTCATCCTTTGCAACATCTCCGGGGTAATGCAATTCATGCACTGAGAAGTCAGGATCTACAGGTTGATGTGATAGGGGAAGACCTACACAGCAAATTTTTTGAGGTAACTTGTTTGGTTCTTAAACGGTAGCATGATAAATGTGTACATGTAAACATATAATTTTTCATTTCAAAATATTTAGTGATTGGAAGTGCTATTGATAGCATTAGGAATGTATTATTAAATGATTAAAAGTTCCGTTAAAATCAGTATGGAATCTTCTGCCCCAAAATTAATGTTAGTGTGTTATCTGCTCCGATAACTAATTAATATCGATGATAACTTCCCAGTGCAATGCAATTATAATTAAGAATATTATCTCTATCATATTTACTAATTATGAAATTCCGCCATCTAGTCAGAGGGTTTATGTAGATTCATCATTCTGATAGTGGCACATGAGACCTCTTGTACCTTTTTATGTAATTCACTCCGCCCCGGTATATTCATTATTTTGCTCTTACTATAACTATGGAACTACTTTTATCCTGTTTTAGCCCAAGTCTCATATGGCACTTACTGTATCAAAATAGAATATCATTATACAGTGGTGCTAATTTTCTATTTGTAATATGTTAGGTATTCAAGAATTTTGATGATAAATTGAAGTAGATTAAGATGGAATTGGATGAAATTGAAAAGAGAAGATACAATGGAGACACTTCAAGTAGTCCCCTGCACTCCCAAGACACAGTCCTTACTAATTTCTGCCTACCTTTCCTTCTACTCCCAACTCCTATTTATAATATTTTCCTTATGGGCCAGCCCAAAGCTAACTAGTATCTGGCCCAGGACTCTCTAATACACCATCACAATTATTTAATATTAAATTATTATTATTATTATTATTATTATTCTCAGCCCCGATCCTATCATAATACCACCTCAAGCTCATAAGTTTGATTTCCTAAATCTATTTTACTTTTTGTATCCTATAGTTACTACTTATTTTGGTCCTCCAAATTAAGACTATTGGAGCTGTTTTCTTATGATAAATTAACAATACTACATTTTACTTCTCCAATACTCCCTACCCAATGTCAAACATTCAGAGTTTTAGTGTTTTATGAAATGTTATAACCCTTTATAATCATATCCCTGCTATTACTTTGATCATTTTTTCTTGTATTGCATCATGTAAGGCCAGGAAAGTCAAATTTATGCAACTTTATATATATTCTCTTTGAGGTTGGTTTTAGGGCTTGAACCTACTGTAACCGGCATTTGAGGATTATCATTTCAACTGTTTAATTTGACATGAATGTTCATGTAATACAGACAAATGTGTATATTATATTTTTTTCCTATCTCTTGTATATGCATGGGAATATAAAACTGTCTTTTGTGAATAAAAATTGAGTTCTTATATTGTTAGTGTATTTTCCAGGAAGCTCATAAATCCTGCCTTATCGTCAACGCGCCTTTGCTTTATGGAGCTGCTTGTCAAGTTCCCTTTTCTGTCCTAAAGTATGCAATGACCCTTGATGGTGAAGACATGCCTTAATCATTTTATTATAGTGGCTTTATTACTTTATATTTTGTGGAGCTTAAGTGCATGTACTTTAGCATTTCCTTAGTGAAACCAAATCTTAACAAATAACAATTAGGAACGGTAGCTAATTTTTTGTAATGGTCAGGAAAGATCGCTGCCAGTAGTGGACATGCATCTTGGATTAGCAGCATAAAGTCAAGAAGTCGAGTTTTTGAATTGCGAGGACGAAGTGATGCTGTCATTGTTGGAGGAAATACTGTCCGTAAAGATAGTATGCATCCATTTAACCTTTCTCTTCCACTTTGACAGGAGCTAAAACAATGTTACCGACTCTGTAGATCATCATCTCTAGTGGTGATGTGAATGATATTCTAGTGCTGCTGCATCTAACACAACTTTGATGTTTAGATCCACACTTGACTGCAAGGCATGGAGGTGGCCATGTACCCCAGAGAATTGTGATGTCTCAAACTCTATGTCTTCCTGAAAAAGCCAATCTTTGGGATGTTGCTGAAGTACCAACTATAGTTGTGACACAAAGAGGTGCTAGAAGAAGTTTTCAAAAATTGCTCGCCTCCAAGGGCGTTGAAGTAGTTGAGTTTGACATCCTAGACCCAAGAGAGGTTATGGAGTACTTCTATGGTCGCGGTTACCTTTCTGTATTTTGGGAGTGTGGAGGAACATTGGCTGCATCTGCGATTTCATCTGGAGTCATACACAAGGTATACCATGGCATTTTCATTTTTAAGTATTATTTAATCATTGAAAAACTTGTTCAGCCCCGGAATAGAGCTCTCGTAAAGAAAATAAAAAACAAGTGTAGGGAAAAATAGAGAATCTGTTCTCTGAAATTATCCACAACATGTGCACAGAAAAAAATTATTTGTCCTCTTCAAAGGGTTTGCTTTTCTCCATCTTTGATGCAGGTGCATGCATTTGTTGCACCAAAAATTATAGGCGGAAAGAATGCACCAACTCCAGTTAGCGATCTTGGGATGGTAGAGATGACCCAGGCTTTGGAATTGATCGATGTTTGCTATGAAAAGGTCTACTTGTTGCTACACCTATATTTAGATTATTTATTTGACATGCATGGAGTTTCTAGAACATCACATAATGCAGATTCGTCTTTTTTATTTAATGAACTTATGTGTGTAATAGTTGTGAATCTTTTGGGGTATTACAAGTTGGTCTAATATTTATGCATGACTAGCCCAAGTGCCCACTAATACTGCCAATATGCCATTAAAAGTTGCATTATTTGGGGGCTGGGGGATGAGAGAGTAAAATATATTAATGATTAGGGATTAGATATGCATGACTAGCCCAAGTGCCCAAGTACTTCTTATACTTTTATGTGCATGTTTTCCTGCACATATCTTACATGTGCTTATGCACCAAAATTTAATTAATTATCCATTGGATTAGTTCCCCCTCTGGTTCCCTAATTATGTGATTTTTGCCCCGCACGTTTCAATTACATGTAATGGTTTATAATGTTTCCATCCATTTACAATTGGTCCCTCTGGTAGCAATATGTTCAAATTTTAATGGATGGAGTTATGTGGTGCCCAATCGAACCCCTAATTCAATATGGAAGCCCATGTCGGCTCTAACTGGACTCTACCCTGTAACACATAGTATGGGTCTTAACAATAGACTATGATCACTCTTCATCATCATTCATATTCATCATCATCATCCATAGTCATCATCATCATCAAAGACATTTTATTGCAGTCAGAGACAACATGGCTTCCACTGTTCCACAACTTGCAATAGTTCAAATAAATACTGCATCCTTAATTATACCATATCCATGTGATGTAAACATGTCTGGCTGTCTATGCCCTTAATTTAACCATGTAAGTAATACGGCTCAGGAGTAGAAACGCCCTTAAGGTGGGGTAAATAAGGTTGCATGCTTTCCTTCAGTATGAATATAAGACTCTTCAAAGATACTTATTCCACATGCTCACTTGCTAAAGATGTGATTTGCAGATTGGACCCGACATGCTGGTTAGTGGATTTCTTCAGCCAGTTCCAGACCTCACTCCTGTTATTCCATCTTTAGAAGAAACTTCTGAAATCGATCCTACCATTTCTCCTTATGAGTCAAGCATCATATTCTTTTATAAAACATGGGAGCAATATGGTTTCTTTTCAAACTTCTCTAGCCACCCAATTCAAATGGCTGATGAAACTGGAAATATGGTCACCTGGTCCAGTGTAGAACATTATTACCAGGTAACATGATATTAAGCTTAGAGTCTCTTTCAATGGCTTTATATTTTATGATCTTTCTTAGAGGTTTCGGTCAATTTGTAGGCACAGAAATTTACTGGGGTGGTTGATCATGTGGCTCAAAAGTGCATTGAAGATATAAAAAATGTAAAGAGCCCAGAGGAAGCTGCACGGATGGGTAGGAGATTACAGAGGCAACGACCTGATCTGGTACAACTTTATATACTGTGTTATGCCTATATGTAGGCTCAATGGATTGTTAAGAACTAGGAATGTAGGTTGCCACCATCACCACCACGGGGCACCACCTTAATCTCAAGTTGTTGGTGTCAGCTGTATGAAGTTTACACTTTATCGTATAGACTGTATAAGTTGATGCAAAAACAGTAGCAGTGAAGTTTTACATTCAATTTTCTTTCTTTCTCAAGTTGCAACCATCTTACCATCTTATGAAGGACTAGCTAGATGAAATTCCAATACTATCATTATGTGTTTTTCCATGTCCATGGAAAATATCATGAGTCTGTGAGGGGCTGAGGTAGTGTTTTTATAGTTATATTTCATTCAGAATCGATATTGTAATTATGATGGAACACGACCATAAGCATTGGCTGGGATGTATTGCATAAGTGCCTTGCTTTTCTGGATTTGGAAGCACTCTTTACCATTTCAATGTATTTAATTAATCATAACACCATTTTTCTAGTGCAACTTGGCAAAATATTTTGAAGGAATTAGAGGTCTGGTCAGATAGTCTGTGTTTTTTACTACAACATCCAAACTGTTAGTTATAGGCTAGAAGTAACTATATTACTAGTCAATCATGTATTCTATATATAGTTTTTTATCTTCACTTTCTTTCCAACCCTTTTAAACAAAAATAATGGTTTAGAAAAATTGAATGCATCCCTCCTATCCCGTCCAAAAGATCTGAACCAAACAAGTACTTAAAGTTGATTCTAAGTCGAGAATTCGAGATTTCATCAATTCACATTCTTCCTTCAGTTATCTAAGTATGTACGTGCAGGTAAGATCAGACTGGAAGTCCATAAAGATCGATGTCATGTACAAGGCTCTGAATTGCAAGTTCACAACATATCCTCATCTAAACTCTTTGCTGGTTGCAACAGCAGGATCGGTTCTTGTAGAAGCTTCACCTCATGATCTCTTCTGGGGAGGAGGTCGGGATGGAGAAGGTCTAAACTATCTTGGCAGACTGCTTATGCAGCTTAGATCTGAGCTTTTAGACAACAGCTCAGCTTCACATGAAAACTCAGTTGATCATCATTGACCAGTTGTGTAAAAAAAACCTCAGGTACATATGTGCCTGATGACTCATCAATCCTTGTCATGCTCATTTCGGATTGAAGAAAAAAATCTCGGCCATTATGATGTATTATTTGATCTCAATCGACGAAATTAATAAACAAGTAAATCCATGTCTTTGTGCGTGTCTTTGACATTGGTGAGCGCATGTGTTGAGTTGTGTTGCGATTGTCATGGTTTTAATAAATCCAAGTAGTGTATTTGTGGTCGAAATCTATTTATATACTCCCTCCGTCCCTTAAAACTTCGTCAAGTTTGACCGTCACGGGAATTAATAAAGTAAAAATTGTGTGGTTGAGGTTTGTGCAGAAGAGAGAGAATTAATTGAAACCACATATTATTTATTTAAAAGGGAAAGTGGCAAAAAGTTAGTGGGTCATCTAAATAAGGAAAGTTTGCAAAGTTTTAAGGGAAGGAGGAATACTCACCAAAAAGCGAGTTTGTATCCTCTCCAGTAATTGGATACTTCCGGTTGGAGAGAGATAGAGAGGAGGGAAATTATTGTGAGGTATGTTGATGAGTAAGATAGAGAAAAAGGTAGTGATAGATAGGAAGAAAAAAGGAAATGGAGGGGAAATGAAGAGAAAAAATGGAGATGAGTTGGACTCCCAAAAAGCAATGCAGGCCGAAGAGAGATACAAATTGGTGGGGCCTTGGCCCTTAGGTATAAAAATCCTCATTATTTTAAAATTGTTATAACTTTTTTATTCTGTCTACTTTTTATAAAATATATATCAAAATTCACAACTTTTTATTCTCTTTCATATGACACCAATATTGAATATAAAAAATAAATTTATCATAAATAAATATTCCAAACTATAAGGGATGTGAGGTAAATATCTCAAACTTACATATGTAATATATATACTCTAAACTTTATATAAAAGTTAATAAGTTATATCAGCACCATGATGATATATTTAATTTTATGGTATCAAGTACATAATTTAAAATAGGGGTAATTTGAGTTTGCACTCCATTTTATTGTGCAAATTGGACTTTGCATCATGTTTTTAAAAAACTTTGTTTTTGCACCCCAACCCCATATGAAAAGACAAAATTGCTCCTCTATCAATAATTTTGTTGACCTTCAACATATTCTTGATCGAGGGCATTTTTGTCTTTTCATATGGGATTGAGCTGCAAAAACAAAAATTTTAAAAAACGGGGTGCAAAGTCCAATTTGGTCAATAAAATAGGGTGCTAATGGAGTATATGGCCCAGGGACCCCCGGCCCACATACTTCTGCTACTCTAACAGGCCCATCAGGCCCAGGGAGCACAACCGGCCCAGATCACAGCGCCCCAAGTAATAGGAAGCCCACGGCACACATATATACGCCTTCGCCCCCCTGGCCGAAGGATCCGAAATCTCACGGGACAATTGATTATGGGCATACGAAGCTACTGGGAGAAAACGGTGAAATCAGTAGCCTTCGGCACTTAGAGCCCTCGGCACTGAGAGACCCCCGGTATGAAGAGCCTTCGGCTTATCATCTACAGCCGAAGTCATCTTCCTCGACAGAATCGTCTCTCCACATGCGCCTGGATCACCGTACCAAGTACAACGTCACATCCAACCGCCGCATTTAATGCGGCCACATGTAAGTGTCGGTGCCACCCCGATTGACGTGACCCTCGGCCGTCGGATGCTTGACACGTGTCCCCGCCTAGCATTTATTACTACTATAAATAGCAGCCCCTTTCCCCTTTTGAAAAACACGCCTGGAATACATAACTCATATATTCAAATTCACTCTCTCTCTTACTTATTTGCTCCGACTTCTCTCTAAGTTGCTTTCCGCAGTAATCCCTCGGATAGATACCCTGGGTACACTATCTGATGGAGTATATGGGTCTGAGCCCCCGGACCCACATACTCGGAAGAACAGAAAGCACAAGGCACAGAGTGGCGCCCTCGTCGGCCAGGACGCCCCCGTCGGCCGAAAAGGGGCCAACTCGGATTATGGTCTTGAGTCCAAGGAACCCGGGTGCCCTCGTCGGCCATGCCCTCGTCGGCCGTGCCTTCGTCGGCCACGAAGACCTCACAGAATCGGATTTTATACTTACTCATTTGTACAGCCCATTAGTGGCTTTGTATTCGGCCCAGTAGCGGTCCAGTTGTAAATGGGCCTCCCAAGCCCAAGGCTTGGGAGCCCAACCCTAATTTTCTCTATAAATACTCCCCTTGGGAGTAGTTATAGGGGTTACGAATTCATTCTATTGAAGCATATTATTGCACTTCTCTCTCTAGCTCTCACTTCTCTCTAGATATACTCTATCATTTGGTGCTCTCGTTGAGAGCTAGAACAATCAAGTTAGCACCCTTCGTCGCTACCAAGCACAGCTAACCACTGATCATGGGGAGAACTAAGTCAAACCGCAACCTCGTCAGCAAAGCCATCCCTGAGGACCAAGAGCCCAGGGAGCACGATGAGGACGCCACGGCCGACCGGGTCGGCGGAGGGGACCTCTTCCAGAAGGCCTTCAACCTCACGACGGACCTCCGCAACCAACTCAACGGCGGAGTCCCCGACGCCCACCTCGGCCCGGAAAAGAAACGAGCTGAGAAAACGGACCACGCCCCGGCCCAGCCTATGGCCGCGGCCTCTCCGTCCGTGGATCCACAGGTCCAGGCCGCGCTGTCGGTCATCATCGCCAGCCTAGCTCAGAACCCCACCGTCCTCAGCGCACTCTTGCCAAGGACCGGGGGAACGTCACTCAACCTCCTCAGCACCAACCGTTGGCCGTCCAGATAGGCAACGATGAGGGGGTGGTGCCCCAGGACACGGCGTCGTCCCACTCCCACCCTGCTTCCCCTCTTCGGCCCGGGCAGACCCCAGCGCGTGGAAAAGCCTCTGCCTTCAATAGGCTAGGTGACACGCGCCGTCGTCCGGTTTCGGAGAGGATGGCGGGACGGATTGGCGATCCTCGTCCTGGCTCGCCAAGGGAAAGCTTGGGGTCTGTGTCCCGGACAGCGGACCAGCCCCGCCCGGACAAGGGCAAGGGGAAGTTGCACGAGGATGACATGCGTCACCAGATCAACGCGGCTCACAACGAGCGCCTGAGAAACCAGCCGGGCGCCGCTGCGGCCGACAGGGACCCCCAGGACGAGGTCATCGCCCAGCTGGAAAGGAGGCTGGCTCAAATGGAGGCCAAGCAGTCGGCCAACATCCCTACGGTCGGCGCCTCCAACGACCCCGGCCTCAACGCGCTCATGAACAAAGTCAGCGCCCTGGAGAGGGAGCTGGCCGAAGGGCGAGGTGACCCCATCATCCAGGTCAGGACCAGGACCCCTTTCACCAACAGGGTCCTCTTGGCCCCCATCCCTGAGAAGTACAGTGGGAACGCCATCAAGTCCTACGATGGCCGATCAGACCCCCAGGAGCACTTCAGCCGTTACCAGAACAACATGCTGATGGTGAACGCGTCCGACGAATACCTCTGCCGGTGGTTCCTCTCTACTCTTGAGGGGCCAGCGTACGAGTGGTTCAACGGGCTCCCAGAAGGAAGCATCGACTCATGGCAGGATCTCGCCCAACGCTTCCTCACTCACTTTGCCGGGAGGAAGCGCGCGAAGAAGTATTTCACCCACCTCCTCTCCGTCAAGCAGCAACACGAGGAGTCCCTCCGGTCATTCATCGACCGGTGGACGAGGGAGACCGAGGAGGTCGAGGGGGCCGATGAGCGCACCCTCCTCGCCTTGTACCAGGGAGCCCTCCGCAGCTTCCCGTACGCTAGGAGCCTCATCACCGACCCCCCGAGGTCGTACGCCAAAGCGCTCCAGCGCGGAGGCTTGTATGCCGACGCCGACGAGCTCCACAATCACAAGAGGGAGGGGGGCCATCCCCCAAAGAAGACAAATCCTTCGCCGGCCCCGGGTCCGTCCCCGGCCGGCCAGGGTGCCCAGGGCTGCCACGGCTCTGGTGGACAAAGTAAGAAGGACCGCCACTGGCGTCCGAGGTTGGAACGGCCGGGGGTAACCCTCACCCACCCGGTCGGTACCATCCTCGATTATGCCGAGAAGCACGGCCTCATCGAGCAGGCTCCTCGGCCGGCCGAGGAGATCCTTGCCATCCAGCAGGGCGGTACATACTGCCGGTTCCACAAGAACTCGTCGCACAACACCGACGATTGCATCACACTGAAGAAGGCCATCGAGCGCCTTATTCGCTAGGGGGAACTCTCCCAGTTTGTCAAAGGTGGCCCACGCAAGAACACTTGGGTAAACACCGGCAAACATGGGGGCGAACCCTCTGCGAAGAAGCGGGAGATTGGTAGGCTAAGCGACGACGAGGACTTCCAGGAGCCTCCGCCGAAGAAGAATCACATCCACCTCATCGTAGGCGGGAACACTGGGGGGGACTCCGCCACTCAGAGAAAGAAATGGGCCCAATCCCTTTACATTGGGGAGGTGTCCCACGTTCCCCCCAGCCGAAGAAGCAACGAACGGAGGCGATCACCTTCACCGACAAGGATCTGCCTCCGGGTACGGAATCACACAGGGACGCCCTCGTCATCCGATGTGAGATCGGTGACTCCATCATCCACCGTACTTACATCGATACGGGGAGCTCCGTCAACGTGATGTACCTGGACACCTTCAAGCAGCTGAAACTGTACAGAGCTCTGCTGAAGCCGATCAAGACACCGTTATCCGGCTTCACCGGGGACTCTATCGATGCCGAGGGCACGATAGTCCTCCCCGTGGAGGTCGGTGACGGCCCCCACCACGCCAAAATTAACATGGAGTTCATGGTGGTCAACCTCCAGTGCGCCCACAACCTGATCTTGGGCCGGCCAGCGCTGGAGGACTTGGAGGCCATCATCTCCATGAAGCACTTGTGCCTGAAGTTCCCCACCAACGACGGCATCGGCTACGCCAGAGGAAATCAGAGGATAGCCAGAGCTTGCTACCTCAAGCTAACGAGGCCGGCCGAAAGGGAAGGACAGAGGATAGACACCATTACGGCCGCCGTCTCCATAGACGAGGAGAGGCCACATGCGGAGCCGGCCGAGGAGGTCGAGGAAATCCCTCTGGATACCTCCCGGCCGGAGCGGGTTCTCAGGGTCGGAAAGCAACTCCCCCAGGACCAACGAGACGCCATCCTCCTCATCCTACGGTCATACGCCGTTGTTTTCGCGTGGGGCCCAGACGATATGCCAGGCATCAGCCGCCAAGTGATCACTCACCGGCCGACCGTCGATCCG